CAATTTTTAAATTATTTTTAAGAAAAACTGTCCCAGATGATTTTGAGTGAAGTCATCTGGACAACTTAGTTGACAATCGTCTGAGCAGATGACTTGCGAGGGCTAGAAACGTAAAAAAAATATTTTTTTTTTGTTTGTTCATAAGAGATTGGTTGTAATTTCAATAGCCTTTTAAGTTACTTTTGCATTTGATTCAAGTTTGAATTTACTTTTGCATTTCAAAACAAGTTTTGAATCATATTTGACAATTTTCCTTCAGAAGAAATGGTAAATGAAATTTCATCTTCTTATAAAGGAAATATTGGCGAGACTTTAAATGATTACGGTGGTGGAACAGTGTATATAGTTTCCAAGTTCTACAACACTTTGGCTACAATATCATTATTAAATTCAGTAAAATTCAAGTTTGCAGATTTAATTCAGAAAATGAATCCATCGTTATATATATTTTGTATATTACTCATTACATGATATGAGAACTAGAGTTAAAACAATAAATACAATTTTGAAGGATCTTTCTTCTTATTCCTTGTGAAGTGACCAAGAATAAATATTTACTTTCAAAGCACATCCCCTATATATTATTTGCGAAGTTATTTATCACATGTCCTTTTTACAATCATTTTTATAAAAAAAGATGATGATATGGCTATTAAGATTGATGATTTGGCTTATAGTTAAATATAACATGAATAATTACATGTATTGTTGATATATATTTTTAGTAAACTTTATAAAATATATCAATAACTGATGTATTACATTCAATGTTGATTTATATTTTTGGTAAACTTCTTAAAATATGGTAATAACTTATTAAAATTCATCACTAAAAATAAATATATTGACATATGCATTATAAATTTTGAAATTTTATTTAATTTTCCTTTTATAATTATATAATTTATACTACTAATATTTTCAAAATTTTCTGCATTTTCTGCATTTTCTTTAAAAATTAATAAATTTTTAATCATAATATCATTAGTTTCTTTTAGATATTGACAAATTTTATAAATATTGTTTAGTTATAATTTTTAGGGATTTTAGTAATAAATCCCCCTAACTAAAGATTTTTCGTAAACCCCCCCCCCCAACTTGTTATATTGTAATTTAATCCCTTAACTTCTATTCAGTTAGATTTTTTTACCATCCGTCTATTTTCTGTTATTTATGGATGGATACTGTTTACACATAATTTTATTTAGTGATAAATTCCCTGAACTAAATAATTTTTGTAAGAACTCCCCCCAACTTGTTATATTGTAATCGAACCCCTCAAATTTTATTCCGCTAGATTTTGTTACCCCCCATCTATTGTTTTGTTATTTATGGACGTATATTGTTTACACACAACACATAGTTTTATTTAAACCTAAAAATAACATTGTTGGAAACAAAAAATACCATAAGTTAGAAGGGCCGAAAGCGTATTCTTATCTACATGCCGAGCTCGTCTTGAGAGAAATCGAACTTGGATTTTTGGATATACCGAAGAATGGGCCGAAGATAGGAGCCAAGTTTAGTAAGCCTCAATGCATAAAGGAACCCTGATTCGGTCTCAACGAGCTCGAGGAAAGAGGGGAGGTTCCAAAGATCAAGGAAGCAGGTGAAGATGTCGCGGAGTCAAGCCTCTATAGAAAGGAAACTGAGTTAAGAAAGAAGGACACATGAAAAACCCTAGAGAGAGAACGACTATACTTCGACCTCTTCGAGCTTGATTTAGATCTATTCTTCATTCGATCTCATTTGTAGTTCCCGATCAACTTCTTAGTGTATATTTTAGGATCCACAAACATGTTTTTTTTTAATGAAACAAGGCAAACAACGAAGCTCAAAATCCCAAAAATAAAATTAAGACTTTATAAATAGAAATGAAAAGACCATAAAACATTGAAAAGCATTGAAAAAACATACAAACGAAGGGCATGCATTTCGGTTTAAATTCGGATTCAGTTGTGTTTGTGTTTAATCGAGTTGATTTTTATTATTGTTCTAGTTTGGTTACGAAAATCTAATTTGTAAAACATAAAACAAATCATCTTTTGACACTAAATCACCAAATCAATATGGTCTTTTTCAATGCTTTTAAATGTTTTTATGGTCTTTCATTGCTATTTAGGAAGAACTAATTTTCAATTTTAGATTTTGAGCTTCGTTGTCTGCTTTGTTTCATTAAAAAGAACATGTTTTTAAGTTTAAATGAAACTCTGCATCGTGTATAAATGGAATGCGTCAATAAATATCGAAACAATAGACAGAGTGAAACAAAATGTAATGGAATAGAATTTGAGGGGTTAAATTACAAGATAATAAGTTTGCGGGATTTTTTTTATGAAAATTCTTTAGTTGTGGGGATTTTTCACTAAAATGAAACTCAGTATTGTATGTAAATGGTATCCGTCCATAAATAACGGAACAATAGACGGAGGGTAACGAAATCTAACATGATAGAAGTTGAGGGGTTAAATTACAAGATAAAAATCTGAGGGGATTTTTTACGAAAAAACTTTAAGTGGGGGATTTATCACTAAAATCCCTAATTTTAATAACTATAAAATTTTATATGATTCTTAGTAACTTTATGCAAGTTAATTTGATACATTTAACCAAAATAAATAGATAAAAAAGATTTGAATTTTAATTATATTACATATACATATATATTAGTAAATATAATTTAAAAGAAACAAATTTATTCCTTTTTCTTTATTTGTGCTTAATTAAATCAAATTTATATTGAATATTAGTCAAAATAATAAAATATAAAATATCAGTAAATTTCATTTTAAATATAATTTCACTTTTAAAAGTTTATCACTATACGTGGTGCAGGAAAACACCTACTAACACTATCATTAACATTACAAATCTATGATACATTCAATGGGGATACTCGGGAGGAACAATTAACTGAAGATTTTTTTTTAATTTTTAGAAGGTTATCCAGAACCTACTTCTTAGGAATCAGTTCCTAACTTCAATGGAGAAAAAGAAGAATATAGTGTGTGATTTGTCAAGAAGATATCTTAAAATTACCATGCAATTATGTTTTCGATTGTACATGTCTTCTTACATGATGTCTAGTAACTCATGAATGTCATTATAAATTACATTATTAATTTTAAAATGATTATATTGAATCCATTTGCGTGCTTTAATTAGTTACAAATATATTATGATGTATTCAAAATTTCTGAATAACTTAACTAAACTAATAGTGAAAGATATATCTTAATTGGTATTGACTTATTTTAGTTTTAATTATACCCTAAAGATAAAATAAATATACATTCTTAATATTATCTACAAGAGAATATAGCCGCATGCAATCTACATTTGTGACACGGAAACTTCTTTGGAAACAAAGGTAAGTATTTTCATATAAAATTTTAGGTTATAAAATGTGTCATATTTGTTTTATAAAATGAGGTTATGCATGATATTTTGTGGGTATAATATCTATTTTAACTAATTATATAGAAATAAATGCTATTTAGGAGATTTTTCTCATTGTTTGATATTTCTGGGATAGAAATATTTTAATCCAATTTGATGTCATTTTCTAATATTAACTTTTTAACTTATTTGATTTCAATGGTATATTTTTTATTATTTAAATCTGATGTTTTAGATTTGTGACTTTCTTTCTAAACAAGAAAAATACAAGAAAAGTTGTCTAATTATATATGTGTCTTTTAAAAATTATCTATAAAATGTATTTGTTTAAAAGTTTTATCTTTTAATTAGTTTAAATTAGTTAAAATATCCTAAAAAGTGGTTTGCTAAAAAATTAAGAGTAGTGTCTGTTCATTTGATTATGTTGTTTCATCTTTAAAGTTGCATTAAGAAGCTGTTAAATAACATATGTCTCTTTTTAACATTATCTCTAAAATGTATTAGTTTAAGAGTTGTTTCTTTTTAATTAGTTTAAAAGAAGTTAAAATATCTATAAAGTGTCTTTCTAAAAACAATACGAGTTGTTTATTTTCATTATAAGAGATAAATTATTTTAATGAAATTGTTAAAATATTTCAATAAGTATCTATGTGTCTCTTCATTATGTAATAAGGTGTCTTTTTGTAATTAATGATGTGTCTATTGAAAATATATTGTAAATGTACGCTTTTAAAATAACTATTTCATATTTGAAAATTGTGACTGTTCGTGTAGTTATTTTTGAAAATTATAAATAGGTCATGTCTATAAGTTTTTCCTTATAAAATATAATTAATTTTTAAAAGACTATTTTGTGTCTTTTTATTATAGTGTCAAATGATGTGTGTTTCTATACTATACATATATAGGAGATGAAATTAATTTAACATAAATATGGTTTTTCAACATGCAGCTATTAAAAAATGTTGTGAAAAGGTTTAGATGTGTCTTTTTATTATAAAGAAAAATTAGTTTTAAAAAGTAGTTAAGATATTTGACAACTCTTAAAATTAATACATTTTAAAAATCAAAAGAATGAAAACACACAAAATTATAGATACAGATATCATTTCATAATTTGATAATTTTAAAAATTATTTCAGTTTTCTAATGAAAAGACACAAACTTTCACATTAATTGGAAATCCTATTATTAATAGAAAGAATCATGGATTTTCATGAAACGGTTCAAAGTAGTAATAATTATCATAACTTATAATAAATCAGTATTAAAATATATTTTTAACAAAGTATACGTGAAATGTAAATAAATACTTATGAAATTGTCATCAATGCTTTTCTTAAATAAAAGAAAACAATCAATGATCATTAAGTTGTATATATGTGAAATACAATTTGTAAAGAAGACAACTAGTTCAAAAACGAGACACCTCAAAAAACAAGAAAAAAAAACCCAGAGATTCAGAAAAATCTGAAAAGACCAGTGATTCAAAAAAATCTGAAAAAAAAACACACACACTGACACACAAACAAACATTATAGAAACACAACGGAATAATTCCTCTGTTTTTTGACAAGATAAATGATGAGATTCATGTCAGCCTAGCGTGCATCAGGGGTTACTTGGGTTCCAAAATCGACAGTCAATTCTAACGCGTTCTTTGAATCATCATCTTGAACCGGTCCTCCCATCCTCGAACTCTCAGAGATCAAACACTCTTTAAGCACGTTAACAACTTTCGACATGGTTGGTCTATCTGATGAAGATTGACTCACACATGACATTGCTAGTTCAAGAATCTTCCAGACTGTGTTAGAGTCATAATCTCCACCAAGGTTTGGGTCAACGATTTTCTCAAGATCTCCTCTGCTTATTAGAATCTTTACCCATTCTGCTATATGAGCTTTTTCTCGGGTTAGCTCAATCACAGACCGGTTTGTTATGATTTCCATTAGTACAATACCGAAACTATAGACATCACTCTTCTCGTTTAACCAATTTGTTTGGTAATATCTGCAAAATAAAGAGTTTTATGCACTTAATGGAGTACCAAAAATGTTGAAGTTCTTTTTTTTTTTCGGAACACACAAAAATGTTGAAGTTAGAGTTGTTTTCTTAGTGTTATAGCACTTACTCAGGATCAAGATATCCAGGTGTTCCAGCCACTACTGTTGCTACTTGAGTTTCAGCCCCGATGGCAAATGATCTTGAAAGCCCAAAATCCGCAAGTTTGGCCTCAAAACGATCGTCCAATAGTATATTTGTACTTTTGACATCTCTATGAACCATTGGCGGCTCACATCCAACATGCAAATACTCTAACCCTATGGAAACAAAATCATACCCATGTTGAGACTATTCTACATCATAATAAATAGTTAGGTTTTCAAGCACTAACCATGTGCTGCCTCGATAGCAATTTTTAGTCTACTAGCCCATTTCAAAGTAGATCCAGCACCTTCTCCTGTAAATGAAAATGCTGAATCCATACATATTGAAGACATCAAAATTATTGATTCATAGACTGATAAAGAAACGTCTTGTATAAATGAGTAGTTACCTGATAAATGTTGTTTAAGGTCTCCATTAGCCATGTACTCATAGATAAGTGCTAAGTGACCTCCTTCATCACAGTAACCAACAAGGCTTACCAAGTTTATGTGATGAACTCTTAGAAGTAGCTCCACCTTTTGGATCCCATTTCATACATATAAAACTCTCAGTAAGACATTTACCAAGTCTTTTTTTCGATTAAGCAAGTCGAAAAATGTTAACATACCTCTGCCTTAAATTCTTTATAGCCTTGAACTGATGACTCGGAGAGAACTTTAACAGCTACTGGTTCGGTATCACTCAAAGAACCGTAGTAGACAACTCCAAACCCTCCTTCTCCAAGAACTTTTTTGAAGTTGTCCGTTAGTTCTACTACCTCTGAATAAGTGAACCTTTTCTTTTTGGAATATATTGAGGACTTTCGTGGTAACTCTCGTGTAGTAGCTGCGGCTGTACCTGTACATGCAAAGTTCATAAGAAATTCCATTATTATATTCTATGTAACTTTTATTGATTGATGATTCTATCTATCTATGTACCTTCTGCTAAGCGGTTTTTCTTTCTGCAAACAAAAATAAGAACCAACAAGGCGACAAGAGCTACGACAGAAGCAACCGATGCAATAACTGGCACTAAGACTTTCTTGTTATTGTTGCATGAGGCGGAGAGACAAAGATTTGGGTTTCCTTGAACACTAAAGAACAAGAACGTTACTATAAATACAAAATTATCAGGAAAAAAAATGAATACTGCTAGGAAGAAATTTACGTCAATTTCAGGCCTTTCTTTTCTCTATCACGAAGGGCTTGAGGAACTGAACCGGTTAAACTGTTCCACCCTAAGTTTCTGTTAAAACAGAGTAGAACATTATTATATACATAGTTCAGATATATGCTGAAGTCTATGATCACTGATCAGTCACCAAGAAAAATACTCACATGAGCAACAATGATTCCATGTTAGCTAGAAACTCAGGCACTTCTCCACTAAGCTTGTTATTCGACAAGTCCCTACCAGTCGAGTAAGATCAAAATTTAAGAAGCAATATAAAAGCTTATAACCAAAAAAAAGTTCTGTTTTAAGGATATTGTAATCTCACAGTTCTTGTAGATGGGTTAGGTTTTGTATGCTAGATGCTATGACTCCTTCTAGTCCACTTGATGATAAGTCTCTGATTATAAAAACAAACATATAACACATTTTAGAGATATAACCATTGAAAAACCTATTAAATCTATGCTTAAATAATCTTACAAGGAAATGATTCTTGGTGGGATAGTAGTATTTGTGTAGCTGCAGTTTATACCCTCCCATCTGAACATCATAGGAACGCATGGATCTCCTTGCCAGTCGATTCTACTCAGTTCATAAGTATCTCGAACATTCTGGACCGCAGCCACTAAAAATAAGACCGACATTATTATAAAGAAACATGCAATGCTAACATTGAGAGAAATAAATACTAATATGATGATAGATTTGGCTAACCATCCTCTGGATTAGTTTCAGCATCTGGAAACTCAATAATCTTGTAAGCTTCCATGGCATTGAGCATTGGTGGGAGAGTTGAGCTCTTAGTCATAACAAGCTCCACTGTACATCCAATCAACCTACATTTCAGAGGCGAGGCGTTGTATAGAGTCTCTAGTTGCAACTTTGGAGGGCGATAAGCCGAAACTGTAAAGTTTTCGTCCTTTCCTATCCACGTAATGTCGAATTCTCTTGTGTCGTTACCTTGAAGTGTTTGTATCTCAGCGAAATGAAGATATATTAGAGCTTGATCCTCGAGGTCTTCCATAGTCCATTGATAAGTTAACGTGTTGGTCACGTTTTTATTAACGATTGCCTTTGAAATGACTTCTTGTGGTAGCTCATAAGGAGTAGAAGAATTTACATTGAGACTTGTGTTTACAAAATTAAACGGCGATGAAAAACTTAACTGCTTCCATTCACGATCATACACATCTGCGGGATATCTGAACATTATAATGATCAACAGTTCATCAAATATTTATAGCCTTTACGAAAACTCTTTTTGCAAGTAAAGTAAAAAAAAAAAAAAATTACCGTATGGTGGGACCGAGAAAATCAACAGCATATGAGCGTTTCAAGAGCTTCAAGGAGCCGTTCGTAGTGGTGTAAGTGTCATCCCTCAAGGGTCTTAGTTCCAAGGCTGAAATGATTGGTGTAGTCTTCCCTGTTTTAACAAGACATATCTGCAACGAGCTTGACTTTGGTATGTGTATGATCTCCTCTTTGTCTGGACCAAAAATGCTTTTTAAATCGACCGTTGTCCATATGTTAGGACCAAGATACAGATCGAATTTTGGTTCATTTTCGAGCCCGTCATAATTCCCATATTGGAAGAGAGCTTTGATAAGATACTTTCTGCCTGATGTGACTTTTAGATTATAGCAATTTCTTATTCCTTCTGGAAAATATCTGAGAACTGTGAATGGCTTATATTCCTCTTCATAAGACTTTTGGACTCTACCAGTTTGACCACCTTGGGTGAAGTTTGCGTCAGATGTGTATGTTAGTTTGGTTAATGGTTCGGTATAAGGAGAGGCCGCGGGGTGTAATCCACAATCCAAGCTGATGAATCCTAGTATGGAAGACATAGTGATCTACGTCAAATCTAAAAATAACCAAAAATAATCTAAATTTCAAGACATTTAATAGCAAAATGTTTGTTAAGAGTGTACCTTTTGGATCAGGCTGAGCTTGAATAAGATGTGTAGTAATGCCAAAAGCCACAATGATCACAGCTAGCAAAACACGTTGAAGACTCTCCATTTTTGGAGGAGTTCTAAGACAAGAGAAAACAGATGTCGCCTGTTTAATTCCTCGTTCACTTTTAAGTCAAGATTATGGTTGGTTGATAGTTGACTTTTTGTATTATAAAAGGTTGTTGACAGCAGAAACAACCAGGATAACTGGTCACCATGACCACAGAACGTGCTTACTACCTTTATTCCTCAATGTGTTATTAAACTAACTGCAATCTTATGTGTGATTGAGATGGAGAAAACAAACAGTATGAAATTGTAACATAAATGGACATAGTAGTATTAGTTATAACTCGTAGCATCAACGTGTATATAAATAAAGTATATGTAAGCTCATATTATAATCGCTTGGTATTGTTGTTGTTCATTGTGTGTTGCTTTCTCATTGTTCTTCCTTTCTTGTTTCCAAATCTACATCCAGGTGAGGTGGTCTAAAAACCAGTTTTCACTCTTAATCTTTTATACGGTTTAATAAAAGATTGGTATCACTCATATTATACTATGAATAACGTTATTCTCTCAAATAAAAGGTAAATCCACATGTACTTTATAGATATATACACTAAGTTAGGCAAATAATTAATAAGCAGTAAACACGTAAGCAGTTTGATTGATTGAAGTTGTATACAATATGAGACAATAGCTACATTTAGGATTTCATGTAATCAGGATTATAGAGAAATAGAAACAAAAAGTGTTTGTGTGGTATTCTAGAACTTGAACTCTAGTGTGTAGATCTAGCTGTAACATGTGAATCTAATAATTATTTAAGTCCAGTGTTCTAGCTCTCGCTTGTGAACAGGGAATGAGTCATTGATCGATGGTTGAATTTGAGATTCGATCGACGGCTACCTTAAATCTAGTTTACAGTCCTATTCGATTCTTCACACTTACTTTCTAGATCAGATGTCGCATGTATCTACCAACCTTGCTCAAAAGAATCATTTCAAGAAAATAATCTATTTTCGTAGATACGATCTTAAATTCAAGGTTCTAGTTAGCTATTATAGAACACAAGCATTAATAGCAATTTATCTGATGGATATATTTATCACTTTAGCAATTCTATAATTTTGGCTAATCCTTCTGTAACGTCCCGACCGTTCACGGCTAATGGGCCACCCACGCTCGTTCTCTCGGCCCGTGGGTCCCATCCCGTTCCAACGGCCGGTCCGTTAATTTTCCAAGGCTCTAGAGTCATGTTTACTAACCCTGCAATCACCACATGACCTTTCCCCATGCTTTGGCCTCATTTACACGGTATCGCAAATCACTTCTCGATAGGTCACCCATCCTTTGACTACTCCAACTCAAGCACACTTAACTCTGGAGTTCTCTCTAGATGTGCTCCCGAAAAGGTAAGTGCACTTTGGTGACATAGATAGCCAAATCAATCCTCTTAAGCCTTTCCATATATCATAACTCGGGATGTTATAATTCACCCCCTCTCAAAGAACGCAACGTCCTCGTTGCGCCCCACGACAGGTCTCAAGACGCCTCTCAGGCCAGAACTGAGATAGCTAACCAGCTCTGATACCAAATTGTAACGTCCCGACCGTCCACGGCTAATGGGCCACCCACGCCCGCTCTCTCGGCCCGTGGGCCCCATCCCGTTCCAACGGCCGGTCCGTTAATTTTCCAAGGCTCTAGAGTCATGTTTACTAACCCTGCAATCACCACATGACCATTCCCCGTGCTTTGGCCTCACTTACACGGTATCGCAAATCACTTCTCGATAGGTCACCCATCCTTTGACTACTCCAACTCAAGTACACTTAACTCTGGAGTTCTCTCTAGATGTGCTCCCGAAAAGGTAAGTGCACTTTGGTGATATAGGTAGCCAAATCAATCCTCTTAAGCCTTTCCATATATCACAACTCGGGATGTTACACCTTCATACCCCTAATTAACCTAAATCTAACAAAGAGAATTATTCATACATAATCAAGCAAAACATGATAATAATTTGAATAGACAACATAAAATAAAATAACAAATAAAAAACAACAGAATTCTAATACAAACCTCTAAAGGACTTTTGGGTATTCTTTCCAAATCTAGCTAAAAACTTTTAAGTAGGGAATATGTTATAAAAAGTAATATGGTTGGTGTGTTTCCTAAACAATAGTGAAACACTTAAATACTAGATATAAAATTGACCAAGGTTAGTCTTATAATTATGTGGAATTTATAGACTTTTAGTCGGTCACCAACAAGTCGGCATGTCTCACGCTTCGCTGTCGATCAATGACAACAGAGTGTTGTCGATCGACACGCTGACTTCTGATTCTTCAGCAACTACGAATTTCTTCATCACAAAACCTTAAAATATTCCATAATCTCGACGTTGTTTCAAAACATACATGGACCTGAAAATACTCTAAAATAGATTCCAAACATATATAATAGATCCACAAAAACACATATACTTAGGATGAAAATGGGTATATCATAGATTGATTTTAAGTTGTTAGATGCATGATTCATGTTGCTTTAGAGCGCTCATATTGTTAAAAGATCTAATGGATAGATGATGTTGATGCGAGATATTCATTGTCCATACTGACTGATTGTTTGATTGCTTAATATGATTGTATTGTATGAGCTAGTTGTCACAAGAACTGAACGAGTTGGTTATTAGATCAATGGATCAAACTCGAATAAATAAGAGTCAACATAGAGAGGCACAAAAAAAAAATAGAGCCACTCTTCAACATTGAAACTCTATCTCTCCCATCGCCACAGTCCTCTCTAAATTACTATTCACCATCGTCCTCTCCCATCAGTCGGCCATCTCAATCCAAAAACTGTTTAAAGACTTATCCTTTATCTGTATTAGCATATTGTGTTTTGTGTTGTCTGAAGAAGGATGTGTTAGTTCCTACACTGCAAAACGAGATAGCTCGCACAAAGACACGAGGGGAAATACTTTTGCTTTCTGTATCCCTATCATCAAACGCTTCACTGAACAAGCTGTAGATTACTCTGCTTTCAGGTTCTTATGATTTTACTCATGTCTGTGTAAGTGTTAATCTAATTTCTGATGTATAAGACAAAACTCAGAAACGAGGAGTAGAAGATTGTTTCAGATCTATTGGAAAATGTTCTTGATGAAGGTTGATTCATTAACCCCTATCTCTTAATCTATTTGACTTGTTCTGTGGAGATAAGAAAAGAGAATCTTTGTCTGGTTACTGAGAAAGAATCTGCAGGTTTCAAGATCCTTGGGTTGCAAGACAGTCTCTTTAAGAGAGTGAGAGATGTCCAGCAGAGGCTTGAACTTATCCCTCACTATATTCTCGTACATGTGTTGTAAATGTAATTCATAATGAGGAGTCCCCAATTTTTTTATCTTTACTAGGCTTAAAAGGAATGAATTAGGGGTTGCCATATGTCACCATTGTCGCATCAACATTGGAGTAAGCTTTTGTTGTGTTTTAAGTTTCTCAATATTTAATCTTGTGATGTTTCCCTCATGTTTATATGCTAATCGGCAGGAGAAGAAACAAAGAAAGAGACACCATCATAAGCCATCGTTCCAGCTTTCTTGCTTGGAATTTCTCGATACAATTTTGAGTCCCCTGAACTCTAAAGGCGAGTTGCCCCTTTCTGTTACTTTTCTCTTAATTGTAAGTCATTTATATATGTGCTGAGGCTGGTGTTTTTTTGGTTCTGTTTCTAGGTTAGAGGAGCCTGATTTTTATTTGAATGTTATCGATCGTTAGATTGCTTAGTTCTATAACATACAAAATTTGATCACCGAGTTCCCGGTCTTTAGCAACGGTACGTCTCGGGTGGGAACCGTCTCCCACAACATCCACTATCAATCAAAGGGTTTTACACAAACGCTCTAAGCGTTTAATAGGAAGACACAACACATAATAAGAGAGATCAAAGAAACTTTATCCTGAAGCGACATGACTCAAACAATGTCTCTTGCCTCTAGTTTCTTTTAACCCTAATCTCTCTCTAGCTCTCTTCCTTTTGATTTTTTTTTTGTTTCAGATGATATCAAAGGCTTGACCACCTTCTCTATTTATAACCTTAACCGCTGATTTTGGTTTTCCTTTTTCTAATTGCCTTGATAATTTCTTTGACCGACTTATCTAACGTTGTTTCCTTTTGTACGCAGGTTTTAACTCTTGGGCCAGTTGAAGGTAGGCTGATGCTTTGGACAGTTTAGGCCCACTACCTTTATATTCAACATGAGGTACTTTGGAGACACCGTAACAGTTGCTGAATGGGAGGATGTTGAGAATATGTTGGTCGTGAGCAAGAGGTGGTGCCCAAGGGCAGATCCACGTAGGTAGTGGGTATGGCACGTGCCACATGCTACTTGATATATATATATATATATATAAAATGTGGATATGGATATTTAGATAATAGAGATATAAACCATATGTGGACATGGACATTAAAACTGGACAATGACACTAAAACGTTAACATCCATACTTTTACCAATTTGGTCTAATAATTACATATGTTCACAACAAGTGTCTAGAATCCATGGATTCTTGTGGACTACATCATAGACTCTTGATATGATCATGTAGTCAAAATATCTTGCTGCATCATCCATGGATTCCTGATGTGGTCATGTCAAGTTTGGCCCAAAATTTCATCTAATCATATAATCAAAATATGGATTCAGAACACTTGTTGTGGGAAACTAATAAACAATAAATAAAGAAGTTTTAATTAAAGTCTTGCACTTTTACTTTCAGATCTCTGATACAAAGAAGTGGTGTTCAACATTTAAGTCTCAAATTCTAATACGAAGAAAGGAAGTAATATTAGAATCTGTAAATGTCAAAACTGAGTTATTTGTAGAAAAAGGAATGAAGCTAACCTTCATAGCACGAGAGCTTGTCGTCTTCATATCCATAAAAGAGGCAGCACCTGCTCGTTGCCGCATCATCTTCACACTGGAGCTTGGATTTACCGCCGTCCTGTCATCATCCCACAACGATGCTTGGACTTGCTTGCCGTCGCGTCGTCTTTTCCACACCGGGGCTCTTGGATCCGCTCGTCATCGCTCCCGTCCACAAAATCTCAGAGATTCGATTCAATTGAAAATTACAAGAAAAATAATTAAAACAAGAAAAACATAAACAATTAGGGATTTCTAATATTCTTGAAAGTCAAAAGGATTTAAGGAATTCAAAATTTAAGCCTTCAATGTTAATCTAAAGTGAAGAAGGTTGACTATTAAGGTTCCTGGATTTCGATTTCGCCATGGTTTCTCAAAGCTAAACGAGCTAGGTTTGGGGATAAAGGAAAAAAAAGATCATTAAGAGATAAGGGATGAATTGTATTAATTATATATTTTTAATTTAATTACTAAAAAAGAAATATTGAGAAGAAACAAAACATGGGGCATAAGAGACAATCAATACACAAAAAGTGTGCCTCTAGTGACATGTGTTTGATTGTGCAAATTGAAAGTGGGAAAGTATCCCAAAACGTAAAAAAATCTTTTTTTTTTTGTAGTGTTTGGGTATGCAGCTGGAGGCTCGTGCTACAATTTGGTATATGTGCTCGTGTCCCTAAGTACTAACCTAAGAGATCAGTTTCTGCCATATTCAAAAACCTTATTTCAGCTTTTGAAAGTTTAGGGCCTTTAAAAACGTTGTGAAGTATTTTACGAAACTACCAACTATCTGTACTTCCATTATTGTTCTGATCAGATCTGTTTACTTACAAGATGTCTTCGCCAACTAGAGTCAATTTTGAAGATGACAATATGAGCCGCTAATCCCATTTATGACATAAATGGCAACGTGATACCTTTCACATATTCACTTGAGTCAACGCTGAAGCACTGATATGATGTTGGAGAATAGAGCCAAAAATGCATGAATTGGTTATTAGGATCAAAGATCTCATATCGGAAGTTGGAAAGGATTCTATCTAGTATATAAGATAGATGGACTAATCTATTTATCACCAATTAGTTTTAAGTTAGAAGTTCATCTAGCTTAATATGGTATCAGAGTCCACGACCCATGCAGTCCAACCCGATCCTTATTGATCCAGTCCAAAATCGATCATTCGATCCCTGCTCGAACATTCCGAGATTGACACCAAAGAACCATCACCTAGAGCGGACGTATTAGGGACAAAGATCCCACATCGAAAGTTGAAAAAGATTCTATTTAGTATAAAAGAAAGATGGGATAATGTTATCACCAATTGGTTTTAAGTTAAAAGCCCATCTAACTTAACATTGGTAGCATGTAGGGCTCAACGGTGGTGGATACGGGCAGTGCCGGCCCTAGTAATTATATGGCTAGAAGCACAAATAAAAAATATGGAGTATTCGAACCCATGACCTGTAATCCTCCTTTACACCAAGCCAACCACTCTGCTACGGAAGACTTTCTATCTATTTGTAGCCGGTAAAGTACATATATTCCGGAAGCACAAGCTTCCTTAGCTTCCATCTAGGGCCGGCTCTGGATACGGGTCCACATGCAAACTAGGTCCTATAAATCTAGGTTGTTTGGTGTTAATTCTATGTGTGGTAATGATTGTGTTTATTACATCTTATATATTAAAACAGAAGTAATGACTTCATTTAATGTGTGATTTTTTTTTTTTAAATGGACCATCACTATAAATTTTACCAAATCTATTTCATTAAAACTAATAATAAAACTAGATTTTGAACCCGCACATCCGTGCGGGTAATTTTTCATTTTATAAAAATATAACAAAATCTTTCAGATATATCATTTACATTTTATTTTTATATTGTATAACTATAGAATCTTATTATTTTAATTATTTTATATAATATATTGTTGTCATTTTTTAAAAATATCAAATATATTTTTTTAGATAATGTATTTGT